TTACAGAATGTCTTTTTTTCCTTTGGATAGATCCTCAGTAGTGGGATTGCTAGATCAAATGGTAGTTCTACTTTTAGTTCTTTGAGGTATCTCCATACTACTTTCTATAGAGGTTGTACTAGTTTGAAGTCCTACCAGCAGTGCATGAGTGTTCCTATCTCTCTGCATCCTCGCCAATATTTGTTGTTTTGGGACTTTTGATAAAAGCCATTCTCACTGGAGTTAAGTGATATCTCATTGTGGTTTTGCTTTGCGTTTCCCTGATGATTAGAGATATTAAGCCAAGTCAGACATCAGGCGCCCTACTGCTTCTACAACTACAGGGCACCTTCGTCCTCCCCTGGGGGCCTCAACTCCCTAGGCTTCGTCCTATGCATTCCCCCACAGACATATCTCAACTCCAACCCAGACTGTAGGAGCCACAGGAGTCCAGTGGGTCCCGGGATATTCCGTGTGGCTTTAGAGCCTGATCATTCTGGACAGATTGCATCCCAGAGAGAGGATTGAAGACGACCAGAGGGTGAACTATCCTCTACCCACTCTTTTTCTCCCCTTCCTCTCCCACAGCTACAGAGAGAGATAATAGAGCCTCCACACAGAGGCTCCCACAGGGAATGGGGTTCAGAACTTCCCTTTTGGGGTGCTGCTGTGGACTGTGGGGTGATTGCACTGCATGCTCCCTGCTTGCCAGCTCCTCCCTGCTGCTGTTTGCCTAGCAGACCCATGAGAAGAAGACAGGCCCCGAGGCAGAGGGACATTGAACCACGAGGGCCACCCCGCGGGGGTTACAGGACCAGCATTCTTCTCCCTGGCATGGTCAGGGATTGATCTCCGGGGTTCCAGAGACAGGCCCTAGGCCAGATCCCATATACCCAAGTCTCAGCCATTTCTACCTTCTTCATGGGCTCTTTCTTTTTATATTTCTCCATCAGGAAGTGCGTTAACATTCCTGCCTTTCTGGTTAGAGGATTATTGTGTGAGCTGCCAGTGGAGGACGAGGCCTCAGAGGAACCTGCATTTTCCTGAACTCGGCTCTTGGCACCTCTATCAGATCTTGTGCATGAAGCACCTGCAGCAGCTGTGGTGGTGGGTGGAGCTCTCTGAGGCTTCTGGGAACTGCCAGCAGCAGGGGAGCTGGAGGGAGTATTCCCAAAAACAGGAGAGGAAGGGGAAGGTGACTCTCCTTTCTCTGCTGCAGTGGCCTGAGCATCATTGAGACCCTGGGCCCCACCTCGGGCCTTGCGGCATTTCTCATGAGGCATGACGGCTATGGCCGGGGACAGCAGGTGGGAGTGTGGGCAGGAGAGTAGGTGGTTGGCGTACCTGGAGGGGGGAAAATAGGATCCTGTGAGCACCTTCAGCAGGGAGAGCCCACCTTGACATTTAGGAAGCCATCTTTGCGGGTTTCTTTGAGAGCAACACTCTAGGAACCCACTGGGCTGTGTGCTTAGTGAGCCTGTCTTCTGGGAAGCCAGTGGA